CCAAAAAAAAAAAAAAAAAAAAGAAAACGCTTGCTCCCTCCCTAGCCCAGCAGCCCCGTGTCCCCCTCTGGCCACTTCGAGGCTTTGCTCTGCCCACCAGGGTCCCAGGTCCGACTGGGTGCCCCGCAGGCCTGCAGCCCAGGGTCTGCCTTCCTGCTGACGGGGTGCGGGGCCCCCGAGTTGAAGCCGTTTCCTCACTGGCGGCTGACCGCTCACCTCCTCACGGCAGGGCTGGAGCGTGCACCACAGGACAGACAGAGGACAGACAGACGCAGCGTGTTCACCACCCTGGGCCGACCTGGGCTCCCCGCAACACGTCCGAGGGGCTCGGGGGCAGGGCGAGTGTCATCGTGGGGGAGATGCTCTGCTGCAGCTGTGTCCGTGGGGGGAGACTTTCACCGGGAACGGTCCTGCGTGAACCCGCTCGCACGACGGGAAGCATCAGTGCTATAGGAGGAGCAAAAGCAGAAGGGAGCCCACCTCCCTGAGCTCTGGGTGGCGGGCCCTCTCCCTTCTCGGGGGCACTTTCCGGGTCAGACCCGAGACGGGGACGGAGTGGGGTGCAGGGGCTCGGTCAGCCGTCCTGGAGGTGGACGCTGTGACCACCTCATCTGGCAGAAGAGCAAACTGAAGCCCAGGGAGGGTCAGCTGGAAAATGATGGAGACTCTCCGGCCGGTCCCCAGATGCTCCTGCCGGGGACCCAGGGCCCTCCGACTGGGCGCCGAACACAGAAGGGTGACGGCCGGAACCCAGCGGGTCTGTGCCCCTCGGCTTCCCTATGGGGCACTTTCTACAGCTCAATGCCCGTGCTGAGCTGCGCTGAGTCCAGCCCGCAGGCCCGCACTCGGCGACGCGGGGCTCACATTCCGCATTGCACTGAGCCCTCCCAGCGGCTCTGAAAGCCCTCCCGGCGGAGGGCCTGGCGCCCAGTGAGGGCTTTTACACAGAAATACAAGCACATTCCCCGACGACAATGCAGCCAAATTTGCTTCCATAAACTGAGGCGGAAGCAGAGATGGGGTCTCTGGCCAGGCTGGCCCCGCCTGCCCCGTGAGGGAGGCGCCCGGGGCTCAGTCTGGACGTGCCTCACCTCAGCACCGCACGGCCACCCTGTCTGGCTCGGCCCCGGACACGGCAAATCTGTGCCCCGCACCCACCTGGCGGCACCCAGGGCTGGAATCCTAACTGGAGGGATGGGGGCCCCTTCAAGAGGCTGAGGAGAGGGACTTCCCTGGTGGCGCAGCGGTTAAGAATCTGCCTGCCAATGCAGGGGACACGGGTTCGAGCCCTGGTCCAGGAAGATCCCACGTGCTGCAGAGCAACTCAGCCCGTGCACCACAACTACGGAGCCTGCGCTCTAGAGCCTGTGAGCCACAACTACTGAGCCTGCGTGCCACAACTACTGAAGCCTGTGTGCCTAGACCCCGTGCTCCACAACAAGCGAAGCCACCGCAATGAGAAATCCACGCACCGCGACGGAGACCCAGAGCAGCCAAAAGTGAGTAAATAAATAAAAATTTATTTAACAATAAAAAAAGAGGCTGAGGAGAGCATGAGGGCCCTAAACCGAAGTGTGCATGAGTCTGCCCGTCAGGGACCCCAGCCCCAGTTACCGAGCAGCCCTCACAGTGTCGAGGGCCCTGGGGACCAGGTGGGACCCCCAGCAGCTGATCGCTGACGCTCGGCCGGGACGCGCCCTCTGTTAACTCACATGCCCACTCTCCCCGAAGACGCGAGCCCTGGGTTTGCGGGAGGATTCGATCCCTGAGCATGAACTGCAGTGATTAAACCAACTCAGCCCGAGCTCCAGCACCAGCTTCCGGGAGTAATTCCAGAAAGACCCGTGGCGCAGCTAGGCCCACACTCCATGGAGCCAGGTCTCCCCTGCCCGGGCCTGGGGTGTGCGGGCTCTGCCCGACACCGGAGCCGCATCTCCACGAAGAACCTGGAGCCAAGCGCACACGGAGGTGCTGCCGGCCCTGTGCTCCAGGCAGGGTGGAGTCGGTCGGAAAACCAGGCGAACACGCGTGACCATCGGGCCCGCAAGGTCCCCACAGAGCCGGGGGTGACCCGGGGGGCCTGGGGGAGGGCTCCTACGCGGTGTCCTGTCCGGGCCGACACAGGCCTCCTGCTGGCAGCGGCCTTGGTGGGCTTGCCACCCTCCAGGGATAGCCCTGAACAGAAACAGCCCTGAGACCAGCGGCCCGGGGGCCTCACCCGCTGCCAGGCTCACAGGGGACGAACAAACTGACTTCACTCTGCGTTCACGGCAACGAGGGCTGTGCACGTGGACAGCCCAGGACAGCGGTGCAGTGGCCCGGACCACTCATCCCAGCCCACCCTGCCCCTCCCCCACCGGGGGCCCTGGGTCTGCACGGTGAGCACGTCCAGCAGCCCTGACGCCAGGCTGGCAGCCCCGAGTCTGCCTTTTAACCCATCGCCACGGTGACGCCCCTCGGAGCTGTCTGGGATGTCTTCCTGGGACGCCCCGTGTCTCCCAGGTCCCCTGTTCTCAGGGATCGACTACACTTCCTCCTGCCCAGGTTCGGGGGCACCGCTGTCACCCCATGCACCCCTGAGCTTGCGCTGCCCACTGCTGACCCCTTGGTTAACCCCACGCACCGGGCAGGTCGCAGGGGTCTCCCCCGGGGAGTGGGGAGCTGGCACCCGCACTTCCCAGGGCAGCTCTGGGCTCCAGGTCTCTGGACTTGGGGCCGGACAGAGGGTAGGGGATGCACTGAGGAGGGAAGGACAGGGCTGGGCTCCGCTCCACATGGAGCTGGGTGACACCTGGCTGCGGGGACACGGGGATCCAGGGGCCGGTCCAGGTAGGAGGAAGGGCTGAGGTGGCCGCTCGGAGACCAGGGTGGTGGGAAGGAAGGGGGGGCAGGCAGGGTGTCTCGCCGCAGCCCTGGCCTCCCTGCCCTCTGCCTGGAACCCCCTCCCTGCCCGGACCCCACAGTCAGAAGGCGCCTTGGTTCCCCCTCCGCCAGACAGAGTGCGTCGTGACCCCAGTGCCCGCAGTGTCCTGGCGGGAGCAGGAGGGGTGCGGGAGGGGCTCGGGGGAGCAGAGTGGAGGAGGGACCCCTCCCCACCCTCATGGGTGTCGCGCGGGGTCACCCTTACTCACAACGGGGTCTGGATGGGTGTCTCTCTGTGACCATCGTCCACTTTGAAAAAGCTGACCTCCAAGTAGGCTGGGAGCTGCGTGTATCGGACGCCCGCGGAGATCTCCACCACCCGGCCGTCCTCACCTTCCCGAAGGAGAGAGAGGGGCTGCCGAGGGCTGCAGGGGCGGGGCAGCAGCACCTGGGTCCCCCCAGCCCCCCACTCCGGCCTCCGTGAGGAATGTCTGCGGCAGAGTGTCCAGGAGGAGCAGGGCGCTGCCAGGGGCCAAGAGCACGGGCACCTCGCCCTCCGCTCACCTTCCTGGGCCCACCACTCCTCTTGGCCCTCAGCCGACTGTCCACCCTCTGCCTACCCGCTCCACCCCGTCCTGGGAGTCCCCACCTGAGTCCAGCTCTGGGCCGCAGGGCACCTCTGTGCCTCTGGCCCTGACCGGTCCCTACTCTGGGAGGGCCTCTCCTTGCTGGCTGGCCTCAGGGCTTCACCGGCTACAGGCTCAGGGCCGTGGGGGACCGACTGAGCACACGGCCACCCAGCTCCCACCTCGGCCTGGGGGATGGGCTCCACCCACTCGCCGACATCCCCGAGGCACCCAGCACAGGCCAGGTCACACGTACGCGGGGGCTCGGGGTCAACAACGAGCGCTGACCAGCGCCAGGGAGGGCCCTGTGTAGCCTCGAGTTGCTGAGATCGTAAAAGGAGACACGCAGGGCAAACACCAGCATGTCGTGGACTTGGGGAGACAAGGAGCCAAGTGTAGAGACAACTGTGGTTTGATCGGCTTCTGGTTCTGGTCCAGAGGGCGTAACTGGGACCCACGGACCCTCCCACTCGGAGCAACCAAAGAGCAGATGAAACTGAATGAGACTGTGGTTTTCAAGACCTTGGACGTCAGGCAAGGACAGCGGTTCCCGAAGGATGGGAAACACACGACGGACTCCACAGTTGCCCAGTTCCTGCCCTGAGAGGACGTGCGGGGCTGGTACAGAGCGGGTCGGGTAGAGGCTGGTAGACAGGCCCACGCAGGAGCGGAGCAGAGGGGCACCTCAGGGTCAGTGCAGCACAGATCAGAGCATGAGTGAGGGGAGAACGAGAGGCCCCAGCAGGATGGGAGGCCTGCTCGTCCTGTCAGCCAGGCTGGAGAACTCAGAAGTCAGGGCAGGTCGAGCAGAATTCTCAGTAATGGGGGGGTGACTGGTCTTAGACTGAGGCCTCCTGCAGACCCAACAAATCCAAAAACCAAGATCTGAGAGGATTAAACTGTCTCCAAGCAACTTAACTGCGCCCCAGAACAAAGGTCAAGCATGTTTACAGGGACACAGGCGTCTCTAGCCCCCAAGGTAAAATTCACAAGGTCCGACATCCAGTCAAAGATTACCAGGCAGAGAAGGCAGGAAAGTATGGCCCACAACAAGGAGGAAACTCAATCAAACTGACCCAGAACTGACACAGTGGAAAAGGACATCATTTTTTTTTTAAGTAGGTTTTTGGGTTTTTTTTGAATTAATTAATTTATTTATTTTCGGCTGCGTTGCGTCTTCGTTGCTGTGCAGGTTTCTCTGTTGCGGCAAGCGGGGGCTGCTCTTCGTTGTGGTGCGCGGGCTTCTCATTGCGGTGGCTTCTCTTGTTGTGGAGCATGGGCTCTAGGCGTGTGGGCTTCAGTAGTTGTGGCATGTGAGCTCAGTAGTTGTGGCTTGTGGGCTCTAGAGCGCAGGCTCAGTAGTTGTGGCACATGGGCTTAGTTGCTCTGCGGCATGTGGGATCTTCCCGGACCAGGGCTCGAACCCGTGTCCCCTGCATTAGCAGGCAGATTCTTAACCACCGCGCCACCAGGGAAGTCCCGAAAAGGACGTTTTTGAAAGTTATTATTATAACTGTATTCGTGTGTTCAAAAGTTAAGTAGAGACACAGAAGATACAAAAGAGAACAAAGGTGGGGCTTCCCTGGCGGTCCAGTGGTTAGGACTCCGTGCTTCCACTGCAGGGGGGTGCGGGTTCGATCCCTGGTGGGGGATCTAACATCCTGCGTGCCACACGGCCAAGAAAATGAATAAATAAATAAATAAAAATAAAAAAGAACAAAGTTGATTCTAGAGGTGAAAACCATGAGATGAAAAAACACACCGGATGTGATCAACAATAGATTAGATATTGCAGAAAAAAAGAGTCATGAACTTGAAAACACAGCTATGGAAATGATCCAGAATGAGACACTGTGAGAAAAAAGAAAAAAAGGAAGGGAGGGAGGGTGGGAAAGAGAATCCATGGATGGGGGGGCAGCCTGATACATGGAAAATTGGGGTCCCCAAAGTGGGAGCAGAGGCTACCCACTGCTTTGGGTCCCCCAGATGGGGGCAGAAAAATTATCAGAAGAAATAATGGCTGGAAAATTCCCAAATTTGATGAAAATTATAAACCCACAGATCCAAGAAGCTCAACAGATTCCAAGCATAAGAACCACGAAGACAACTACGCCATGTCGCATCACAATCAAATTATTCAAACCAGTGAAAAAGAGAAAACCTGAAAAACAGCCAGAGGAAAAGGACATTTGTACAGGGACATGAAAGCAGATCTCTCAGAGAAAACAACGCAGACAAGGTGACACCACAAAGCTCACCTGGAAGATGAGCCAGCATCCTGTATGCGGTAACAATGTCTATCAAAAAGGAAGGCAAAATCAACATGTACGAAAGCTGAGAGAATCCATCACCAGCAGACACGTATGACAAGAAATGTTAAAAGTTAGGTCCTTTGGGCAGAAGGAAAATGGTAGCAGATGGAAATCTGGATCCATGGGAAGGAATGAGGACCAGAAATGGTAACTCAGCAGATGAGACGAACAGGTGAGACTTCCTTTTCTGTTTGTTAAATACTCTTTAAAAGATAAATGACTGTTTAAAGAAAAATAATAACAATGTATCATAAAGTTTATTAGATACATGAATGTAAAATGTACTAAAACAATAGCATAAAGATTGGGATTGCAGAAGTCAGTTAATTAAGTGACATAAAAATCCTAAATGTTTATGCTTCTAATAATAGAGCTTCAAAATACATGAAGCTAAAACTGATAGAAATGAAAGCAGAAATAGACAAAAACACAAGTATAATCAGAGATTTCAACATACCACTGTCAATAACTGATGGAACAAGCAGACAGAAAATCAGCAAGGATATAGCAAACTCGACAGCAGGGTCAACAAAATTCACCTGATTGACATTTATAGAAAATGCCACCCAATTCCACTCAGAAGCAGAATTCACACTCTTCTGAGCCATATTCTGAGCCATAAAACAAGTCTCAAAAAACTTAAAAGAATTCAAGACACACAAAGTATGACTCTAACCACATGGAATTAAGTTAGAATCAATAACAGAAAGATTTCTGGAAAATTCCCAAACACTTGGAAATGAAACAACACACTTCTAAATAACTCTTGGGTCCAAAAAGAACTCAAAAGGAAAATCAGGACGTATTTTGAATTGAATGAAAATGAAAGCACACCATGTCAAAATCTGTAGGAGGCAGCTAAAGCAGTGTGAAGGGGGAAATTTCTAGCAATGGACTTCTATATTAGAAAAGAAAGGTCTGAAATAACGTCAGAAACTTTCCACCTTAGGAAACTAAAAAAGGAGAGCAAATTAAACCCAAACTAAGCAGAAGCAAGGAAATAATGAGATCAAAATAGGAATTAATGGGACTTCCCTGGTGGCGCAGCGGTTAAGAATACACCTGCCAATGCAGGGGACACAGGTTCGAGCCCTTGTCCAGGAAGATCCCACATGCCGTGGAGCAACTAAGCCTGTGTGCCACGACTATGGAGCCTGTGCTCTAGAGCCTGCAAGCCACAACTACTGAGCCTGCGTGCCACAACTACTGAAGCCCGTGAGCCTAGAGCCCACGCTCTGCAAGAGAAGCCACCGCAATGAGGATCCTGCGCACCGCAATGAAGAGTAGCTCACACTTGCTGCAACTAGAGAAAGCCCGCGCGCAGCAACGAAGACCCAACGCAGCCAAAAATAAATTTAAACAAAATAGGAATTAATGAAATAGAAAACAGAAAATAGAGAAATCAATGAAACCAAAAGTTGGTTGTTTATCAATGAAACTGATAACCTCTCACTAGACTGGTCAGGAAAAAAAGAAAGAAGACCCCAATAATCAATATTAAGAACAAGCGAGATGGTATCAATTCATTAACTGGGGAGCAAGGGAGTGTTACGAACAAGCTTATGCCAAGAAATCTGAAACCTTGGAAGACACAAAACACCATACTCACTCAAGAAGAAATAGATAAACGGAACAGCTCTATATCCAAAGGAAACGGAATTAGTAGTTAAAAATCCTCCCACAGAAGCAGCCGCACAGCACAGGGAGATCAGCTCGGTGCTTTGTGACCGCCTGGAGGGGTGGGATAGGGAGGGTGGGAGGGAGACACAAGAGGGAGGAGATATGGGGATATATGTGTATGTATAGCTGATTCACTTTGTTATGAAGCAGAAACTAACACACATTGTAAAGCAATTATACCCCAATAAAGATGTAAAACAAAACAAAACAAAAAAATCCTCTCACAAAGAAAACTCCAGGCCCAGATGGGCTTCATATTGAATTCTACCAAACATATACAAAGATTAACTCCAAATAGATAATAGGCCTAACTGTAAGAGCTAAAAATATAAAATTCTTAGAAGAAAACATGGGAATAAGCCTTCATGACTCTGGGCTAGGCAGTCTTCTTAGATATGGCACCAAAAACACAAGCAACAAAAGAAAAAAATAGGTAAATTGGACTTCATCAACACTTAAACGTATGGGCTTCCCTGGTGGCGCAGTGGTTAAGAGTCCGCCTGCCGATGCAAGGGACGCGGGTTCGTGCCCCGGTCCAGGAAGATCCCACATGCCGCGGAGCAGCTAGGCCCGTGAGCCATGGCCGCTGAGCCTGCGTATCCGGAGCCTGTGGTCTGCAACGGGAGAGGCCACAACAGTGAGAGGCCCGCGTACCGCAAGCAAAAAAAAAAA